TGCCTAGGTCATCCAGCAACTCACCAGAATATGATGTGAGTTTGACATTAGGATCCATAGGAATAGAAGTAAGTTTACACCCTAACATACCAGTATCCTGAAGCAAGTCAAGGGTGTACTTTCTTTGAGATAAGGAGATCCCCTTCCTTGAGTGAACCACCTCAATTCCTAGAAAATATTTGAGACATCCTAGATCCTTAATATCAAAAGTTTAGCCCAAGTCCTTTACTTGACCAATGCCAACAAAGTTATCACCTGTGAGAATAATATCATCCACATAAACTAACAAGACTATACACTGACTTGCAGAATTCCGGCGAATGAAACAAGTGTGATCGGAGTGGAACTGGACAAAGCCCATAGATATAATAACAGAACTAAAGCAACCAAACCATACTTGTGGAGACTGTTTCAGACCATACAAAAATTTGCGTAACCAACACACTTTCCCTGAATACTCCTCCTCAATCTGAAAATCTAGTGGAGGAGCCATATAAATCGTCTCAAGAAGATCTCCATGAAGAAATACATTCTTGACATTAAGCTAATGAAGAGACTAAGAATGAGATGCTACAAGAGAGATAAGGAGATGTACAGATGTAAACTTGGAGACAGGGACAAAAGTGGCACCAAAATCCTTGCTAGGAATCTGTGTGAAACCTTTGGCCACCAAGCAGGCTTTGTAACGGTCAATTGAGTCATTAGCGAGGTACTTTATAATGAACACCCATTTGCAACCAACTATTCTTTCCCCAGGAGGTAAAGGTATAAGATCCTAAGTGTAATTCTATTCTAAGGCCACCATCTCAGTCTACATAGCCGCTACCTATTTGGGATTCTAAAAGGCCTCAAACACAAAACAAGGAATGGATTCCGACTCAAGCTTGCCAAGAAAAGAACAGTAAGAAGGGGAAACCCAGTCATAGGAAAGATACTAGGAAATAGGATGACAAGTACAACTCAAACAATTTGGACGATGTCGATCCCAATGTGGGTTACGACGAGGAGGTGAAGGAAAAACTAAAAGAGAAGAGTTACCTGGCCCAGAGATCGGAGAGGCAGCAGGGGGGGCTGAGTACGTGGGTGACGGGAGTATCCTTGCAATGGAGGAGAAGACGAAGGCTAAGAAGGAGGAAGGGGGGCAGCCTCATTCTCAACCTTGTCCAAAATGGTCACCGGACGAACAATGGAAGTAACAAGAGAAGAAGCCTACAAAGAAGAGTTAGTACCAAAAAAAGGAAGATCTTCACAAAACGTAATATCCAAAGTGTGTGAAAATGACGAGATATAGGGTTATAACACCTATACCCTTTGGACATGGAAGAGTACCCTAAGAAGATACAACGAATAGATTTGTCATAACTTTGTGAGAGTGGGACTCCGATTTTGAACAAAATAGGTACACCCAAAGACATGAGATAATAGTAGAAACAGAGTAATGGTGGGCATAAGGGTATGAAACGGAGTGAGTCCATGCAACACACGACTAGGGGTCCTATTAATAAGGTAAATATCAACAAGGACAGTCATATGCCAATAAGACTTGGAAACACCCATACCTCAAAAGAGACACCGGACAATAGACATAATATGACGATTTTTGCGTTCAGCAATACCATTTTGTTTAGGGGTCCGACGACAAGTTGTTGAAGAATACTGATTTGATTAAGATGGGAATGAAATGCATTAGAAATATATTTCTCACTATTATCAGAACAGATAGTCTTAACAGCTGCATGAAACTGAGTTTTAACAATCTGTAAAAATTGGACAAAAATGGGAAAGACGTCAGACTTACGATGAATTAGATAAACCCAAGTGCACCTAGTGTGATCATCAATAAAAGTCACATAATATCTATGACTAGAAAAAACAATGACAGGGGAAGGACCCCAGACATCAGAATGTATAAGATCAAAAGCACTAGGAGCACGAGTCACATAAGGGATATAACTAGTACGGGTATGCTTAGATAACTCACAAACCATATAATGAAACTTAGAATCTTTGCAAGCTTTATTAAATGAAGGAAAAAGTTGACATAAATATTGAAAATTAACATGACCCATACGAGCGTGCCATAATTCTAAAGTTTGAATATTAAAAACACAAGACATGAAAGCAGACAAAATAGAGGCCTGAAAACTAGCTAAGGAAGAAGAGGAAGGCTCATCTGGTGGATCCCCAAAGTAGTGTAGCCCATCACGCTCATAGCCCTTGCCAAAAATCCCTTTTGAACTCAGGTCCTGTAAAAGGCAAGAGGAGGGTAAGAAGATGACAGCACAATTAAATTGTTTGGCAAGACGACTAACAGATAAGAGATTATATGCAAAATTTGGAAGATGTAAAACAGATGACAAAATAATGGTAGGGGATAAAGACACTACACTCTTATGACAAACAAAGGATAACGAACCATCAACAAGACACACAGATTGGGCAATAGTAGAAAGGATTGGCGAAGAAAGAAAGGAAAACTCACCCGTCATATGATCATTAGCCCTAAAATCAAGAACCTATGAGGGACTAGCAAACCGAACATGGAAAGCAGTAGAAGTACTTGTTGCAAGGGTGGTAGCAGTGGTAGATGATGGGCCAAGAGAACTGACAGTAAGAGATTCAAGTTGAGCCTGAAGCTGACCAATCTGAGCCTAAAGCTACCAATCTAAGTCTGTAACTCCTGTAAATTAGGGAGATGAGGAGACCCATGAGCAGGAGTAGCAAAATCCACTAGAGTCGCAATGCAAGGGGTGCCAGCACCACGAGGGTGAGAGGAACGTCGTCTCAACTCAGGATGAAGTTTGAAGCAACGAGCCTTAGAATGACCAGAAATGCCACAATGATGACAAGTAACTGGACGAGTAGAACCCCGAGACCCAGACTTTGCAGCAAGAGCCATCTGATCAGATGAAACTGGAGATAGAAGAGAAGGATTCGGCTGAACCAAAAGCCTACGACGCTCATCACTATCAATTGTGGCAAAGGCCTCATAAAGAGAGAGCATAGGTAATGTGTTTAAAATCTAAGTTCGAAGGAATTCAAACTCAGAGTTTAAACCCATCAAAAACTGGTAAGTATGCTGGAGAGCAAGGCGTTTGGACACAAGAGAGGCGGCATATGTTGGTGTCTCAGTCAAGGGCTCATATTGAGCCAATTCTTCCCAATGGGCTTAAAGGTATCCAAAGAATTTTGACACGGAAAGACCCAAGGCAAATTAGGAAGCACAAGCAATATCCTGCTAGAGCTCAAAGATGCGAGCATCGTTATGTGCATGAGCATACATCTATGACAAGACATGCCATAGACCACGAACTGTGTCGCAATAGAGAAACATGTGATAAATACGATCTTCCATGAAGTTGAACATCTATCCAAAAATAGTGCAGTTATCAATATCCCACTGTGCACGAGTAGGATCTGTTGCAACAAGCTGGGTAGTGGAAAATAAAAGCCAATGAAATTTTCCCTTGCCCCCTAAATAGAGTTTAAGGGAGCGGCTCCAGGCGGCAAAATTTTTCCCATTCAACACCACACTCGTAATACGATGAACAGGAGTGTGATGATGAGAAAGAGAAAAATCAAAACTAATTGGAACAGGCTTGGTGGGTATATTAGCAAATGATGTATCAGTCATAGTGGACGAAGAGGGGCTGAAAAACATACAAAGATAGCAACACAGTTCAAGAAAAAATAAGAAGCCGAAAAAAACTCAATGGCTTATCTAAATAGATACTACCGAATAAACCCAGTAGCCCAAAAGAATAAAAGGACAGACAAAGGGCTTAATACATCAGTCCAATCACCCCAAGAAGGAGAAAAAAAATAGCCACGAACTACCTAAAGAGGCAGCCGAAGTACGTAACACCAGAACCAAGTCTGGTTGGCAGCAACCAGAGCCTCGGCAAGGATAAAGAAGGCCTACCAAGGTGAAGACAAGGAAGGAGAGGGGTTGCGAAGACTTGGTTGAGGCTGTCGGAGGGAGAAAAGGAGTTGGAAAGGGCTGTCGGAGGTTAGAGAGAAGAAAAAAGACAGTCAGTGGTGATGGGTGGTTAAGAGAGAGATAGGCCTAGCCCTGAGATTTCCAGGGTCCAAAGCCGATAATCAACTGATAAATTTCTGAGACCCTTCACATTTTTTTTTTCAATGAAAAAAAAAATTGAAGGTAAAGGATAAAAGATTTGTGTCAAAATCACAAAAAAAATACTTAGCATTACATTACAACAACTAATAAGGGGTTGTTTGGGGTGTCCTAAATAAGTGCATTTTTTATCTTTTTGGACTAAATAATTGAGGAAGAAAATATGGATGTTTGGGTTAACTTTTTGACTTTTTATAGAAAAATGTGTAATAAAAAATTATAAAAATTGATTTGTAGGGATTAACTGGCGTATATATATTCTTCAAGTTGGGTATGCATCTTAGAGTTAGATTAGATGAATACCAAATCTAAGAACATGGATTTACATTGAAATATCACCAGGACATTTCCTTAGCCTCCAATAAAAAACTTTCTCGTTGAACATTGGTACTTTTTATAATTTCCTTCTGACATATTTTTTATAAAAAATTTAAAAAAAAAAAAATTAATGAGAAATATATATGTAACACAGATTCTGGAAATATATCTAGGAAGTATTATATGAAAATTCAAATGAACCAGGTAAGTGCTCTTTTGATTTCTCTGTTGGATACTCTTGTTGGGGAACTATCTTCTAACACATCTCAGCACATAACCCATACCCATACCCATACACAAATTTTTTAACAAAAATTCCCATACTCATGTAGTTTAAGTGTTCATCTAACATAGGTGTCCATAATACAGTATGCTGATCTCATTACAGTCACATTCTCATAATTTGAATGACAAAACAAATTAGCAATATATATTCATAGAATCAATTGAGAAGACCATGCTTCATTGTGCACATAAGATAAGATATAGCTACATATATATTATTAAGTAATGACAGCATATACAGAGATCCAATTATTCTCACCTTAGTCTGAACGGATGGCGATACTGGGAATGAGTTTAAGGATCGTTTTGCATCATCATCAGAAGAACATTCAGCACACATAAAGTGCTCCAATTTCTTTGCTTCTTCAATAGTCATACCCATACAAGAAGGATGAAACCTGCAAAATATTGGTATATATATAAAGAAAAAAATGTCCCCAATTATGGATATTATCATGCACACATGCACATAAGTTAAGAGGCAGAATGCAGATAAATATATTTGAGGCCAAGTACCTAAATAACAACTAATAAATAAGAGCCTCTCTGCAAGCTAGAAAAACAAAACATAGTCATGCAATGTAATGTCTCACACTAAATGAACTCATTTTAACCAATATAATATAAGAAACTCTTCATATTCATGGGAGATAGCACATTCATGTAATCTTCACTCTACATAATCCTTGAACTACTCATGGTCATCTATGAGATTCTACCCTGCCATTCCAATAAATATTATGCAGGAGATGGAAAGAAAAAGATGTCCAATAGACAAGAGTACACAACATAAATCTGAAGCTCCAAAATCCAATATCACTTGAGGAGACCAAGTCATTCACCCCCATCTACATTTTACACTTTCTACAAGGCAACTAAGAAATTTCTAGATTTCTACCTTCTTAGAGAACATGTTTGAAATACAACATATGTACAAGTAACACATGAACAAGCAAGAAAGATGCACAGTTGAATTTTAGGAAAGAAGTGCACTACAAATGACAAACCAATTACAGTAGATCTTGACAGAATCACACTTTATACAACACTTAGAATATGCTCCACTGCCCTCTATTCAATTAAATGAGCAAGCACTACCATGTGAATTACCAAATCAATAGCCGAAGACTAATTAAAACTTCAACACCCATCATTCTCAAAGTGGCTTCATATGTGATGTAGCTTGAAACTTCATGAAACTTTTTTGAGCACATGGTGGGGAAAAAAATATATATTTGTTTAAAAATATCATGAAACAGAGATGAAGTGATGGAATCGATAAGGCTCCGTTTGATTAGAAATAAATAAATGATGGAAAGTGAAAATGATAGAGAGTGAGGTAAAAGAAAAGAAAAGGAAAATGAAATATATTTTCTTGTAACATATTTTTACTTTCTTGTATTTTCTTGTGTTTTTTGAAAGAAACTATAAGCTTAGTTACCACGCTATTATGAGTTGTACAAGAAAATTAACTTTCTTGTAACTTCCACTATTTCATACTAAACAAACTCAAATCTATATATATATATATATGTATGTTTTTTCATTTCTTTCACTTTTTACCATTTTCATCCTAACCAAACTAAACAAACTCAAATCTATATATATATATATATATATATTTTCATTTCTTTCACTTTTTACCATTTTCATCCTAACCAAAGTGAGCCTGGGGGGATTAGAAAGAAAATATAGAGTGAATATATCAAGGAAGATAAAGAAAATAGAATGGACAAGAGAAAGAAAGAGGATATAAAAATAAGAGATGACAAAAAGGGAAGAGAGAGAGAGAGAGAGAGAGAGCGAGAGAGAGAAATCTCTTTCAAATATTTATTCAAATTCTATTAATCTTCTAAAGATAATTTGGTTTTCACACCAAAAAGCACATATAGGCTTCATATAAAGTATTAAAAGCTCATAGATATCTTCTAAAACAGAGAATACCTAACATAGAAACCTCATATTCCTAAAATTCTATCACTTTAGCCTTCAAAAGTCCTAACAAAATAAATAAAAATATAGCAAGGTTAAATCAACTACATTATCTTCTTGCAAGTGCCATATCGACTTCATGGCATCAATATGATACCACCCGAAATCTAGTCCATTTAGGCTATATTGAATTTTGAATTAGTCAAGGGAAAATAATAGGTAAATAAAATTACTTGGGCAAATTTACTTTTCTAAGGGCAATCAAAAATTATAAATTTCTCAAGAAATGCATAATCATTTCCTTTCCAATCTCCTAACCCAACCAAACACAACTAAAAAAATTAAGACTTTCTCATTTTACTTTCCATTTATTTTCCTTTTCCTTTCCCTGGATTTGCATTAATCAATGTTCATACACTTAAATCAGGTTATCAAAAGAAAGCTAAACTAAACCAAGTACAAGTAATAGCAACTGTGTCTATAATGGAAAAAAAATCAAAGTTCTGCACTTGATCAAAGATTGAAATCCATTCTAATTATATCTCCCCAACACAATACTGAAGTAATTTTTCAAACCATCACCCAATTAAACAAAAAGACAGTTAAAACTATGTAACCAAAAAAAAAAAAAAAAAAAAAAAAAAAGTTAAAGAAACATACCAGTCCTTGCAACCCTCACATTGCACCATGAGGTCATCTGGGTTATATGGCATCTCACACTTGCAATACCTTCAAAAGAATTTAAATAAAACAGTAATGGGTTAGTCAAGACAATCACACAAACTACAACAAAAAAATCCAAAATCCAACAACAAAATTGGAACTCACACAGCCACACGGTCCGGAGTAAACCCTCCGGTGGCAGCCTTGTATTCAAACCGACAAAAGTAATCCTCAGCCCCAACATTTTCAAGCTTAGTGTAATTCTTAAAAGTATGAACAATGCACTTCCCTTCTATAGTATGAGCACTCTGCACATCATAATGGTCCGACAAGAACAATTCTTTCGCTCCGTGAAACTGTCTCCGTCCTCCTAAGGACTCCTCCGGCCGGTAGTACCACCGGACCCGAACCTTGACGTTGTTCCGGTGATCAGCCTCGATCTTCTCCACGCGTGCCACATAGGGAGGCTTATCGGAGTCCGATGGTCGCATCAACACACAATCTCCAGCTGCCAAAAACATCCATAAGCACAATATTACAAAAAAAAAAAAAAATCAAAAGAAAAAAAAAAGATTGAGAGGTAGAGAAGGGTACGTCTGACGATTTTGTTGGTGCCTTTGATGGAGTAAGAATCCAAGTCTTTTTTGCCAGGTTTGGTCTTCGCCATGAATATGTATATGTATGTGGAGAGAGAGACAGAGTGTTTTGGAATTCGGAGAGAGAAGGGGTTGAATCGGAGGTTAGTTTGGAGGGAAAAGCATGGTGATGAGATTGGAAGAGTGGGGGTTTGGGAGAGATTGAAGGATTACAGTAGAAATAAAGAACCCTAGCTGCTGCTGGTATGGGGAGACTGGGGAGTGAGAGAGAGGAGAGAGAGGGTTTATCTAGAGAGAGAAAGAGAAGGGGGGAGACAGAGGTCGGACGAGGGGGGGTTTTGTTTGTCTGCGGACAGGAATTTTGACGGAGACGTTTGTCTAGGTGTAACATGCCACGCTACACTTGTTAAATTTATCTATTATAATTATAATAAAAAGTATTGAATAATATCAAATTTAGACATCATGTAACCTTGTCCGATATCACCAAATAATTTTTTATAAATCTAAAATTAAATTAAACTTATTTTTCGGTTTGTGAAGTGGGTTGATTATTTGAATTGTTTTGACTAATTTAGCTTGAGTTAAAAATTTTGATTTGGGAATGTTTTTTTGATTTTTTTTTATAAGAAAAGAGTGTAATGATTATAAATTGGATGTGTTATTTTTTTGTTGCGGCTAAAATAACCTATTTTATCTTTTATGACTATTTTAGCGACAAACCAACTTGCCAAACACCATCATAATCATTTATTAGAATGTTTTAAAATAATTTTTTTCTCTTATTTTTTCTAATTATTGGTGAATCATTTTTAAAAAAAAATTAACTCTTTTCTATATTTTTTTACAACTGTTTCCGTAATCATTTTCCTTTTGGCCCTGTTTGTTTTCAGAAGTAGAATGGAGAGAATTGATGGTGAGGAGATTGTTAGTGAGGGGATTTTTTTTTATAAGAAAAGAGTGTAATGATTATAAATTGGATGTGTTATTTTTTTGTTGCGGCTAAAATAACCTATTTTATCTTTTATGACTATTTTAGCGACAAACCAACTTGCCAAACACCATCATAATCATTTATTAGAATGTTTTAAAATAATTTTTTTCTCTTATTTTTTCTAATTATTGGTGAATCATTTTTTTAAAAAAATTAACTCTTCTCTATATTTTTTTACAACTGTTTCCGTAATCATTTTCCTTTTGGCCTTGTTTATTTTCAGAAGTAGAATGGAGGGAATTGATAGTGAGGAGATTGTTAGTGAGGGGCTTAAGTAAAATTGTATTTATTTTGATGATACTTAGGGTTGGTTTGGGATGTCCTAAAAAAGTGTACTTTTTGACTTATTGGTGGGTTTGGGTTGGGTTTGGGTTGAGTTTGATGTGATGTGTTAGAGAGGTGATGTGATTTAAATAAGATGATGTGACTTAAATAAGATAGTGACTTTTTGACTTTTTGACTTATTTAGTACATGCCAAACTAGCCCTTAGTGTAGGAATTGTTAAATTATTTTTATATAAAATACATATAAAATAATAAAACAAATAAAAAAAATACAAAAACATTAAACATTAATGTTTTAAAAAAAATGCCTAACATGTAAAAAAAATTTAAAAAATAAAAATAAAATAAAAAATTTTCAAAAAAAATAAAACAAATAAAATAATGATTTTCACTTAACAAAAAAAATTAAACATTAATGTTTAAAAAAATGCCCGACATGTAAAAAATAAAATAGAAAATAAATAAAAATAAAAAATTTCTAGTCCGCCAGACTATTTTTCTAATACCAAGTCCTGGAGGCCCATCCGAATCTCTTTGGGGAGGTCCATCCTAATCCGGAGCTTACTATCAATCCTCTCCCCATCTCTTAAAACAAACACAATAGTAATGGCTCCCATCTCACTACCAATCTCAATCCCCGTTCTAACTCTTCAAACAAACGGGACCTTTAAGTAATTGATATAAATGACACTCACCTTTAGAGAACAGATAACAAACTTTACAATTTTAACATAATTATTTTATGTTTTTTTGAAATTATAATTCATTTTTATTAATAATTCGTTAGTCATACTCATAAAAAAAAATTAAAATTAAAATTAAAATGTATAGAATCCTAAAAACAGTCCATAGGACTGTTATGAACTATGGTTAGTCCTGAGAAAATATATAAATTGTATTAAAATGTGTGAAAATATTTTAAAATATACAAAGGTTGTATTAAAATTATAAATCTTTTGACATTTAATATTTTTTTATTGACAACATTTAGAGTTGTAATTAGCAAAACTCTTTTTTTTATTTATCATTATTTTTCACACTATCTTTATTAAATTTGATATTTTAAAATTTACTTAAAAAATATTAATGTCATTTATATTAAAATTGTAAAAAAACAAATCTTCAAATTTTAAGACATGATTATCATATATGTTTGATGTATTATTGCATGGATGCATGAGCATCGAATGTTGGCGCATGTGGAGACCGAACGAGGGTAGGTTGGGTGTCCGACGAACCAGAACCAAACCAAATGGCCTCCTTATGCCACGTTTGGTTTGTTGTATTGATGTTTTTTATTTAAATTATAATTTTATTAGAGGCAACAATCATTTTTCTTAATGAATTATGAAGAAAATGCACAGTTCTTTCGCAGTGGGCGCTCGCTTGTTTGGGCCCGTTTGGTAGAATTATAAAAAAATAATTATAGATTATATCTTAATAGATTATAATTTATAATTATAAATATAAATTATTAATTTGTTTGGTGTAATTGTGAGATTATAGATTTAAGTAACAGAACAATGTTTGAATGATAAGGTATAAAATAACTTTTTATTGTGTAATTGTCTTTTTTACCCTTATATAATATAAAAATAATTATTTTGTCATTTTTTTTAGTTTTAATTCAAAAAAAAATTATTTCATTAATAAAAGTTAATATAATTAGTATCAATTAATATTAATAGTCGACAATTGTTATTAATTAGTATCAATTAATAATTAATTTATTAATAAATAATACCAATTAATATTGATACCAATATAAAAATTGTTGATTTTTTAATTTATTAATTAGTATCAATTAACAATTTTATTATCTATCTATCACATTTTTATTATATGTTCATTTTTATCTTCTAAATTTTGTCTGTTAAAATTTTGATTATATTTGTTCAAAATTTATCTATGTGATATGTCATCTGTTTAAAATTCAGATATGTTAAAATATAGACCCAAATCAAACAGTCGTGCTGGGGAGCTCGAATTTGAGCTCCCCGAATCCCCCTAATTCCAAAAACGACGCCGTTTTTGAATTTTTTTTTTTTCAAAAGCAGAAAATCAGAAGAAAGAAGGAGAAGAGAAGGAAGGAGGAGGAGGAGGAGAAAGGAGGAGGACTGGAGGGGGCCATAATCACAGGGAGAGGAGGAGGCGGAGGTGGGGCCGGAGGCGGGCGCTGCGAGGCAGAGGCGAAGCTGCGATGAGTGGAGCTACTAGGACGAGCGACGGCGGGCGGCGACGGCGAGCTCGCAACCCTCTCTCTCTCTCTCTCCTGAATTTAGGGGGATTTGGGGGGGTTTCGAGCTCCCAAGCTTTATTCCAAATCAAATCCTATATATTGAAATATAGAGCCAAAGAAAATCATATATATGTACAGATCTGAGCCATTTCTGATTTGTTTCATGATCACTCCAAAAAAAAAATTGAAAAAAAAAAACAAATTATTTGTTGGACAACAACAACACCAAATAAATAAATAAAAACCAAATTTGGAGAAGGATGATCTATTGGACAACAATAACAAAGAAAAAAAGAAGAAGAAGAATAAGAAGAAGAAGAAGAAGAAAAGATCCGGAAACTAAATACATAGAGAGAGAAAATGAGACAGACTAATGAATTTTCCTAATCGGTAAGAACAATCACATATTCCTCATTCTCATTCTCATTCTCATCTTGTCCTCACCGGCGGCGAACCCCTCCAGTAACCATCTGACTTCATACGGAGTCCTCGAGCGCTACAAACACACACGCCCACAGACATACATACATATATAACAGATCTGATATTTGAGATCAAATGAGACCACACATATCTAAAAATCTGTGTGGATTTGATGCGGCATTCCACCCGCTGAACCCGAGATCGATGACGAAAAATCCTAGGTACGGAGCCATGGATGTAGCAAAGAGAGCGAGAGGGAGAGAGAGAGAGACAGATAGAGAGAAGAGAGAGAGCTCTGGTTCATTGGTTAGTGTGAGAGAGAGAGCTCTAGTTCATTGGTTCATGCGACAGAGATCTCTGGTTTATTGGTTCGTGCAAGAGACAGAGAGGAGAAGAGAGAATGGTTCACAAATACCTTCGTGCAAGAGAGAAAAATGAGTGTGCTTTGATTTATATACGTGATACACTTGTAATAACTTGAAAATTGTGAGGGGCATTTAAGTCATTTTGCCCCTCAAATTGTAGCTACGAGCTTAAGTTGATTGGAAAAGCTTCTCCTCTTCCACTCAAAGAAAAATATGATTTTTAGCTTACAAAAAGGTATAATCTGTATTATTAATCTGAACCAAACACACCAAAATAGCTTAAACTAAGCTAAAAACTGAAATAAGCCCTACCAAATAGGGCTTTTGTCCATTGGAAGAGTTTTATGGATTAGATTACAATTATTCTGGGCTCATTTGGAAATTAGTTATTTTAATTGGTTTGTTAGATTTTTATAAAAATATAAAAAATAAAAAATAAAGAAAATGATGTGATAACTTATTAATGATACTACTAATCCCTAGGGTTGGGTCGGGCTGACCCACGCTTCCAACACCGTTCTTTGATCACTAAGCCCACCGAGGTACCTACACAAATGCCCAATGGGGAACGGGAGTCCCCTAGTGGACCCTCCGACGATCAAGTTAGAAGAGAGTAATGGCAAGTAGAGAGAGAATAATGATAGGTAACTTAACCTTTTGTGTGTCTTGGAAGCCTCCTTATATACTTTGTTCATCATTTCCTTGTCCACTCCAACCTGTCATGTTGACCGAAAGTCTATGCTCTAGCTTGCCTTGTTCATGGTGAGGCTGCCCATTCCGACGTGAAGGGGTTATCGCATTTAATGCTGCAGGGGCCTCATTAATGGCTGATGTGTGGTGTAATAACTCTGCAGGATCTTTGTCTGCCTACGTGGCTGGTTCCTTGCTTGACACATGCTTGGATGCCATTGGTTCCTAATTCAGCTCTGGGTTCTCGAAGGTGTTGGGCTTTAGTGCTTAAGCCGTGAATTAGGCTCTAAGTAGTGGGCCAAAAGCCTCTATGGGCCTACTAATGTCAGTAGTCTCCCATT